GGTGTGAAATTTTGATTCTCTCTTAACCATCATGATTAGTCTCTTCTGAATGGCTTCAGTATTTAATAGGTGATGCATCTTATTGCCAGGATGGTACACATTCAGTTTAGTTTTATGTTAAAAAAACACAAAATCATTTTGTTTCTAAGACGACTGTGCAGAATTTTAAGACCAATATAACTGCAAAAAGGAAAATTTAAAAAAAAAAAATATTGCAACCTGCGTTTTCATGGTGTTTTTAAATTTTCTGAGTTGAGTGAACCCTTATATACTGCACTGCGTGGTGCCAGAGACGTTCGTCTTACAGCTGGTTCTTTCATTCCTTCTAAGGATTTCGTTTATAATTTCAAAACGTCTTATCTAATCACCTTCAAAATTCAAACCTGTCAACTATTACATGGGGAAGATTCGTAGAGTAATTGACACATGTTGCTGTTCTCTGCTCAGTTTTATATAGACCATTCCCGAAACTGATTTACACGAGATTGCTTTAAAGATCCTATCTGGTATTCCCCAGTGATTAACTTGCATTGTTATCGGTTCCTGTTTCAAATACACACAGGTGTTACATCAGTTAGCCACATCAATGCCCACTTTCTGTATCATGTTGAAATTAATTTGTATTGTATTGATTTTAGCTCCTCACTAGCAAGTAAGCACGAAACATTTAAAATACTCGTATAGGCGTCTAAACTGCATACAAGATTTTCCGGCAGGAAAATGAACTTTTAAAATGATTTGGTGTTGGTAATGTTGATCTCTGAAAATAATACGTAGTTTTTTATTTCATATATAAAACTAGGATCACACACACACACACACACACACACACACACACACACACACACACACACACACACACACACACGTCAGGCCCATACTGGAGTATGCAGCACCTGTTTGGAACCCACACCTGGTCAAGCACATCAAGAAATTAGAGAAAGTGCAAAGGTTTGCGACAAGGTTAGTTCCAGAGCTCAGGGGTATGTCCTATGAAGAAAGGTTGAGGGAAATCGGCCTGACGACACTGGAGGACAGAAGGGTTAGGGGAGACATGATAACGAAATACAAAATACTGCGTGGAATAGATAAGGTGGACAGAGACAAAATGTTCCAGAGATGGGACACAGAAACAAGGGGTCACAATTGGAAGCTGAAGACTCAGATGAATCAAAGGGATGTTAGGAAATATTTCTTTAGTCATAGAGCTGTCAGGAAGTGGAATAGTCTAGCAAGTGAGGTATTGGAGGCAGGAACCATACATAGATTTAAGATAAGGTATGATAAAGCTCCTGGAACAGGGAGAGAGAGGACCTGGTATCGTTCAGTGAAGAAGCGGGGCAAGGAGCCGAGTCTCGACCCCTGAAACCACAATTAAGTGAGTACACACACACACACACACACACACACACACACACACACATTCCGACATCTTAATAAGGAATCGTTCAGGACACTGTACACCGTGTACGTTAGGCCCATATTGGAGTATGCGGCACCAGTTTGGAACCCACACCTAGCCAAGCACGTAAAGAAACTAGAGAAAGTGCAAAGGTTTGCAACAAGACTAGTCCCAGAGCTAAGAGGTATGTCCTACGAGGAGAGGTTAAGGGAAATCAACCTGACGACACTGGAGGACAGGAGAGATAGGGGGGACATGATAACGACATACAAAATACTGAGAGGAATTGACAAGGTGGACAAAGACAGGATGTTCCAGAGATTGGACACAGTAACAAGGGGACACAGTTGGAAGTTGAAGACACAGATGAATCACAGGGATGTTAGGAAGTATTTCTTCAGCCACAGAGTAGTCAGTAAGTGGAATAGTTTGGGAAGCGATGTAGTGGAGGCAGGATCCATACATAGCTTTAAGCAGAGGTATGATAAAGCTCACGGTTCAGAGAGAGTGACCTAGTAGCGATCACCCCTCAAGGAAGGTTCCTTGATGTTGGTGAGGGGCTCTTGATTTAGGGAATTGGATCTGTGCTCCAGTTCCCCGAATTAAGCCTGAATGCCTTCCACATCCCCCCCCCAGGCGCTGTATAATCCTCCGGGTTTAGCGCTTCCCCCTTGATTATAATAATAATAATAGTAGCGATCAGTGAAGAGGCGGGGCCAGGAGCTCGGACTCGACCCCCGCAACCTCAGCTAGGTGAGTACAACTAGGTGAGGTGAGTACACACACACACACACACACACACACACACACACATCTCTGGGGAAATAAACGATAATCCAGATATTCTCACTTGGTCATGACATGAGTAGTAATTAGAGCATCAAGGTAAAGACGATTACCTTCTGTTTCCCATTGTATTCGAGTTTCCTGGAACGTTAAAACTAATTTAATTTGCCGAGTAAGATATCAAAATGTTATTTTTGAGAAACGGGAAAGTCATGATCTACGTTTCTCAACCATAATTGATCAGGAAGGAAAAGTCTGCGTTAATGATTCACTCTCAAAGCATTTTATAACAAAAATGGCAGGGACTGAGCCAGTGGATTTCCCACAGCACTACCGTAATTTTGTCTTTAAAAAGTATCTTTAACAAACGACGTTTGACTTGTAACGTTAGACCTGCAACGTTAGACCTGCAACGTTAGACCTGCAACGTTAGACCTGCAGCATTAGACCTGCAACGCTAGACCTGCAACGTTAGACCTGCAACGTTAGACCTGCAACGTTAGACCTGCAGCATTAGACCTGCAACGCTAGACCTGCAACGTTAGACCTGCAACGTTAGACCTGCAACGTTAGACCTGCAACGTTAGACCTGCAGCGTTAGACCTACAACGTTAGACCTGCAACGTTAGACCTGCAACGTTAGACCTGCAACGTTAGACCTGCAGCATTAGACCTGCAACGTTAGACCTGCAACGTTAGACCTGCAACGTTAGACCTGCAGCATTAGACCTGCAACGCTAGACCTGCAACGTTAGACCTGCAACGTTAGACCTGCAACGTTAGACCTGCAACGTTAGACCTACAACGCTAGACCTACAACGCTAGACCTACAACGCTAGACCAACAACGCTAGACCTACAACGCTAGACCTACAACGTGACTTAAGAAATCGTAATGACACGATTGCAAACAAACCATACCCCCGGCCGGGATTGAACCCTGGAGTTTTGAGACTATGACCGCGAGTTCAATCCCGGCCGGGGGTATGGTTTTCTAGAACTACAACGCTAGACCTACAACGCTAGACCTACAACGCTAGACCTACAACGCTAGACCTGCAACGTTAGACTTAAGAATTGCAGGGTAAGAATCTGCGGAAAGAAATTTTTTTTACTCTGGGCAAAACGAGTAAATGTGTCAGAGTATTGTGGTGTAGTATTTTTGTATTGGGGTGAAATATTGCCTTTTTTTTCGATGTATCAGTGAGTAGGAAGCTGGAGGCAGTGGAGATGTGCTACGTAATTAGTGTTGCATAAAAATTATACAAACGCTGAGAAATGGAGAAATCAGCTTCATGGTTTGATAGGTACAATTCAGGGCACAGAGAGAGGTTACTGACGTGATTTATTTTAATTTAGACACGATCGGGTAAGACAGGTTGTAAAAGAGGTGTATAAATCTATGGTTATTGTAAGGTGTAGGGGTTATCACATTAAGGGTTAATAGGAGGTTATGAAGGAGGTTTTTGAGAAGTAAGGCTTTAAGCATCCTGCAGGTATGTGTGTTGAATGGAGACATGTGGTTTATGGGATATGATATGCTGTTGGAGTGTGGGTAAAGTACCATTTATGAAGGGATTCTGTGAAATTAGTTAGCTGAGCATGCGCTGTGGAGGTGGGAAGTGCAGTGAGGCAGGGTTGCTGTTGTTCGATGGTTCATGTACATTCTGATGTCTGCTCATTCTTGGAAAGACAGCTGTTGATTAATAGTGAATGTTTAATTCTTCGAGGCCACCTTCCCTCGATGGAAAACAACAGATTTGTTATCTGACTCTCAAAACTGAGTTCATTTACAAGCATAATGCCAAGACATCCAGTGACTTAGACGAGAATTATTTTGACAGCTTTTGGCCGACACAAAGTTTGACTCTACTATACTCCTCTTTATGTAATAATTAAATTTAGTGCGTAAATTTCAAAACCTTTACCGTGCTTGCAGTCGCTTGCACGATGGAACACATCTGCTTTCATTAACTGTGCTAACACCTCTTGTGCTAATACAACGATGTTTTTCAAATTGTTACTTGTTTTTCACGCTTTTCCACACAGTTCTTGCAGGGTGGAAAGTACACACTTTATCTCACTATTATCCTTGAGTTTAGTTTCGACTATTAATCTCTTGGCTTTGTCCGTAAGCCACATTAATATCCACTCTCTGATACAAACTTTTTATTATCGCTTTATATAAAGCAGCACGAAGTATTTACTGAAATACTCGTATTGGCGTCGAAACAGTATAAAAAGAATTTTATACTGGCATTAAAATAAGCCATTACACACACACACACACACACACACACACACACACACACACACACACACACACACACACACACACACTTTAAACTCAGGAAAAACATAAACTATACTACAGATATTTTCACTTGTTAGTTATAATATGAGAAGAAATTAGAGCCTCGAGGTAAGGACAATTATTTCCCATTGTTTTTTAATTTGTTGGAAGGTTAAAAATTATTTAATTTGCCCGAGAACGTCTGATAAGTTTGTTATTTTGGACAAACAAAAAAGTCATTGTCTGTGTTAATTCAATTTCTAATTGTTCTATTAAAAAATTGGTCAGGATTGGGCCAGTGGACTTCCCATTGCACTACCGTAGATCTACCTGTAAAAAGCAGCGTTCACAAGAAATACATTGACCATAACAGTCATACTAGATTAACAATGTTGCTTCTACTGGCTGATTTAGATTCACGATCAGGAAGACTAATTGGAACAGGTTTATATTTTCTTTGACCTAAATTCTGATGAACAACGTCTCACAACTAACAAATTTCCGTCTCGTCAAATTTAAGCTGTCCTGTTGTTGAAGGCACGAGTTGAAGGCACGAGTTGAAGGCACGAGTTGAAGGCACGAGTTGAAGGCACGAGTTGAAGGCACGAGTTGAAGGCACGAGTTGAAGGCACGAGTTGAAGGCACGAGTTGAAGGCATGGTTGAAGCACGAGTTGAAGGCACGAGTTGAAGGCACGAGTTGAAGGCACGAGTTGAAGGCACGAGTTGAAGGCACGAGTTGAAGGCACGAGTTGAAGGCACAAGTTGAAGGCACAAGTTGAAGGCACAAGTTAAAGGCACAAGTTGAAGGCACAAGTTGAAGACACAAGTTGAAGGCACGAGTTGAAGGCACGAGTTGAAGGCACAAGTTGAAGGCACAAGTTGAAGGCACAAGTTGAAGGCACAAGTTGAAGGCACAAGTTGAAGGCACAAGTTGAAGGCACAAGTTGAAGGCACAAGTTGAAGGCACAAGTTGAAGGCACGAGTTGAAGGCACGAGTTGAAGGCACAAGTTGAAGGCACGCGATAGTGCCTGCATGTACAGTTTTCATGTCTTATTCTTGTCTTGTTCCAAATGCTTTCGTGTTTAACTTCTGTACGCCCTGTTCAGTCATCTTCAAATTTTCTACCCTCGTGAACTATAAGCAGGAGAAGATTCATGGAACAATTGGCATGTGTAAGTGCTATCTGCTCAATTTTACATGAGCTATTCTCGATTTTTGACTTCGGTGCATTTACCTTACGAAGCTTCTTCTTGTCGACTTCAGATGTTCAGCGGGTATGAGTGACTATCACCCACAGGATGGGTATGAGTGACTATCACCCACAGGATGGGTATGAAGTTCTTAACAACGTTATCCAACTAAGATTTAAAAGTTATCAAAATTATCGAGACTAGTGGTTGGTGTCGCAAGACTGACCAAAATAACAACTGACAGGACATTCCAGAAATTTTTTAATAGTAACAGGTAACTATTCGCATCAACATCAATATTCATAACCACCACTATAATTATCATCAACAACCACAACAATAACAATTATCATCAACCACCACCACCACCAGAAGCCACCAGTGGCATCACATCATCAATCACCCCCACACACCTGGATGAATATTGATGAGCTCCTGCCTCACCTGCCCTGGCCTGGTGTGTGAAAACCCACCTGTGGGTCACCAGCTGTCACCACCTGTGACGCTCCTGAGTGATGTCATCTGCAAACCCGTTGTCACTATCTGATGGAAACAAGAAAAATACCATTTTTCCCGCGGGGCTTTTGGTCATCTGTGTCTGGCAACACCAGTGTGATGTCATGTGTTCCCACAGGGTGTGTCTGGCAACGCCAGTTGTCTTATGTTCCCACAGGGTGTGTCTGGCAACACCATTGTGTCTTGTGTTCTCATATTTTATCCCATCAAAGGATGTTGCTTGAGGCTGTTGAGAAGTTCTTTGATCCAAAGAATTAAACGGTTCCTTCCCTTCCTTGAATCGAACCTAACTGCTTATTCTCCCAGGATCTGTATGACCCTTAGAGGTCATTCATACATGTATGGCCTCTACAAGGGTAATGCATGTATGACCTGTCCTCCATGTATGATCCCTACAGGTTTTATACATGACTTCCTTCTGCCATGTCGTGTACCTACACAGAAAAAAAGATATTGACCTTTATGGGTCAGTATTGCTTTATCATATTATAGTCAGTGAATTTATTATATATGTGGTATAATACTGACATAAAAAGTCATAATATTATGGGACAATTTCAGTGAATTTATATAAATGGATTAAGATTGACACTTCCCTAAGATTAGCGTATTATTTAATTCCTCTTAAGTATTCCTTGATCCACGGTATTCCTTTCCCGGTTATTCCTGTCTACTCCTCTAGCTTATGTCCCAGTTTCTCGTGCGCTGCTGCATTCACCGCCTTCTTGCAGGAAAAAAAATATACAGTTCCACTCATCTCTCTCATGCCTTACTTTCATAATCATGTCACAGAACTCGAACAGATTTGTGAGACGAGATATACCATCTTTGAACCTGTGCTGTTTGTTTACAAATCCTCTCCTCTCCGGTGTGTGTGTGTGTGTGTGTGTGTGTGCGTGTGCGTGTGCGTGTGCGTGTGCGTGTGTGTGTGTGTGTGTGTGTGTGTGTGTGTGTGTGTGTGTGTGTGTGTGTGTGAAGCAATACAAAGGTGGGAGAACCGGATTATTTATAATAACCGGATGTAGAATTAAACAGGGTCAGCTTAATCGAATGATGTAGAGTTTAGTTTTCGTGTGGATTAGCAACGGGACGTTGGGAAATTTAGCCAGTAGCAAGACCCTTGTGGGTTTAATGCTTAGTTATGATTATAATAATCCAGTAGCAAATTGTAGACTAAATTAAACATTATTATAATTATTATTATTGTTCCTCATCCTCATAACCGACATAGACAAGGATGTCAGCCACAGCACCGTGTCTTCCTTTGCAGATGACACCCGAATCTGCATGACAGTGTCTTCCATTGCAGACACTGCAAGGCTCCAGGCGGACATCAACCAAATCTTTCAGTGGGCTGCAGAAAACAATATGAAGCTCAACGATGAGAAATTTCAATTACTCAGATATGGTAAACACGAGGAAATTAAATCTTCATCAGAGTACAAAACAAATTCTGGTCACAAAATAGAGCGAAACACCAACGTCAAAGACCAGGGAGTGATCATGTCGGAGGATCTCACCTTCAAGGGCCATAACATTGTATCAATCGCATCTGCTAGAAAAATGACAGGATGGATAATGAGAACCTTCAAAACTAGGGAGGCCAAGCCCATGATGACACTCTTCAGGTCACTTGTTCTATCTAGGCTGGAATATTGCTGCACACTAACAGCACCTTTCAAGGCAGGTGAAATTGCTGACCTAGAAAATGTACAGAGAACCTTCACGGCGTGCATAACGGAGATAAAACACCTCAATTACTGGGAGCGCTTGAGGTTCCTAAACCTGTATTCCCTGGAACGCAGGAGGGAGAGATACATGATTATATACACCTGGAAAATCCTAGAGGGACTAGTACCGAACTTGCACACGAAAATCACTCACTACGAAAGCAAAAGACTTGGCAGACGATGCACATCCCCCAATGAAAAGCAGGGGTGTCACTAGCACGTTAAGAGACCATACAATAAGTGTCAGGGGCCCGAGACTGTTCAACTGCCTCCCAGCACACATAAGGGGGATTACCAACAGACCCCTGGCAGTCTTCAAGCTGGCACTGGACAAGCACCTAAAGTCAGTTCCTGATCAGCCGGGCTGTGGCTCATACGTTGGTTTGCGTGCAGCCAGCAGCAACAGCCTGGTTGATCAGGCTCTGATCCACCAGGAGGCCTGGTCACAGACCGGGCCGCGGGGGCGTTGACCCCCGGAACTCTCTCCAGGTAAACTCCAGGTATTATTAATAGTAGTAGTATTAATATTGTTATTATTAATATTATTCCGCGCAGGAAGTGGAGGCTCAGTACACAACCCGTACTTAGGAGACTCACTCTTATGACGACGTTTCGGTCCGACTTGGGCCATTAACTATTCACACATCTTAATCCTCCTCTGTTTCGACTGTACATCCGTGAAACGAATAGAGAAAACAAATCGGACAGAACAAAATTGGGAGGAGTGAACCGGGCAAAGTAACAGCATTTCTATACATGCAGTGGCGGACTTACGTTTTTGGGGCCCTGAAGCTTGAACTGTTATGGGGGCCCCCTTCGCAACTCCTCATACAGAAGACCCAAAATTTTTAAGCAATGTGGACTAAAGTCTCTCCGGGACCTCCGGGATTAGGAACCTTGAAGTTTAAGCTTCATTAGTGTCATAGCAGATCTGCCCCTGTTAATACAAGATAGTTTCATTGATTTTTATAGGAGTTACAGACACACTGATCAGCATCGAACCCTGTGTGAACCCGATCGAATAAACCAGACAGAGCGAATGCAGGGGACGAAGTAGCACACGGCCTCGTTAAGCATGAGTGTGTCCCGGTTCCTCCATCCCGCGACATCCAGCTGGTCACAAAAATGACCAGGGTTCGTCTGCTCGGCCACGCCCCCTTCCCTGACCACAAAAACAATACCACTACCGTAAACATCGAAAATGAAGGTGAATGTGTGACATTTATGTGGCCTTGTGTGGGTTTTTGTCTTGCCAACTAGACTAGCCGAGATGTGCGTGTGAGATTGCCTATATCTAGTTACATATTAAAGTTTCCTGGGGGTTGACCTCTAGCTCTTGGGTTCCCCGTTCTGACTTTGATCCACTGACCTGAGTTCACTGTGTGTGCCGAATGAAACACACGAGTTTAGTGGGTTTCTCAGTAGTCTATTATTAGAACGTATTTCCTTTGACATTTGTTCATAGAGTCAGCTGTTACTGCTTTATTATCTGATGCATTCTACTTCATTCACTCTTACGCCGGAAAATGCCTTCTGCAATCCTGGTTTCTTGTGGTGGTACAGATTCCATCCGTTCCTCCTCAGTGGCTCTTAAAGAGACCGCCCTAGTCGACCCTGCCTTAGTCTGCCCACCCTTAGTCTACCCTGCCTTATCCTTCCCTCACGTTCCGAAATGCGTTTACGTGTTAAAACTGCAATCTGTTCAAATATGATTGGCGTTATTGCAAGCACTGTAATTCGTTTATTTCTGCCTACGCTGAATAGATGCATCATTTTAGTACTTCTTATTTAAGGTTTGGTAATATTTGGTTATGTTAACCTATAACATGACATGTTGCCCAGTACATGACATATTGTAGTTACTAAGAGCGTTCATGTTACCACGTTCACTGTTAAGTTGGGACTATGGGCTGTATAGTCATGTCTCCTGACCTACATTCTTCCAGTGACATGATTTCTCGTTTATGAAGTCTACTTTTTTCCGGGCCCTTGGCTGGCAGTTCCGGTGTATATCTTGGGAGTTGAAGCGGAAAGAAGGATGAGGACGGAGGGAGACACATGGCAAGACAAGAACTACCACTGCCTTTTGTACTTGCTACTTCCGTAACCATCAACTACCTCCACCATCACCACCACAACTACCCCCATTCCTTGCCTAAGACCTTATCCTATTCCTTTTTCCCCTCATTCCTCCTACACAACA